ACTTCAAAAGTAAAGATGATGAAACTTTTTGTTTACTAAAAATACAGAGATTTACAGGTTCTGAAACACCACTATATTTCTTGAATCACAAAGAGGAGATGCCACCATATTTCAAGAGAGAGAAGGAGAGACAGAGCAATCTTCTAAGCACTGGTTCATTCCCCAGGTGAGCATATGAGCCAGGAGCCAGGCACTTTATCTGACTCTGCCAAGTGGGTAGCAAAGACCAAGCACATAGGCCGTCTTCCATTGATTTTCCTAGGCCATTACCAGGGAGTTGAATTGGAAGTGGAGAATCTGGAACACAAACCAGCAGCTACTTTACTCACTACACCACATAGCTGACCTCTCAAATCTGATTTTAGAATTCAGCAATTCAATCTACTTACAAATCTCTTCTACAGATGGACCAAGTACAGGAAGGAGAAGAAGCCAAGTCCCTCAGGTTTGTGCAGGTTTTTAAGTATTTCCCCTTATACTTGTACTAACTTTAAGGATTAGTGCACCATCTTTGAATTTAAGATATGCTTTCATTCAGAAAGAGAAAAAGGTTTTCTATTGTGCAATTGCAGGTGGATTTCAAGGCTGATTAAAAGTGCTTTCCTGAAGCTGGTACAGTGGCAAAGCAAGCTAATCATCTGCCTGCAGCCCATGTCCTAGCTGCTCCACTTCTGATCAAGCTCCCTGCTTGTGAATTGGGAGGACAGCAGAGGATAGTTCAAGTTCTTATGTCCCTGCATCCACAGGGGAGACCCAGAGGAAGTCCTGGCTTCTGGATTCTACCTTCAGATCAGTTCAGCTACAACCATTCATGCCATTTGGAGACTAAACCAGCAGATGGAAGACCGCTCACTGTGTCTCTCCTTCTCTCTCTCTATAAAATTTGCCTTTCAAAAAGAAATACATAAATCTTGTTTTAAAGTGTTTTCCTTCCAGCATATTTGTTTTACTCACTCAACTATGATTTTTAAGTGATAAATTGCATTTTCCCTTAATTCTTATGCAAATTAATAAATAGTCAGTCCTGTTTGGGGAACATTGACTGTACTCATACAAATGCCTCTCCTATCACCTGGACTAAAGTTCCCCAGTAAATTTCACACAGTTGGATAAAAACAGAAGGTGATACAAAGCAGGATTTACCCAGGGACTTTCTTGAGGAGCACCCTACAGAAACCTGCCACCTTTTGTGAAGAGAGTGTCTTGTAGTCTCAGTTTAGATATATATTTCTCATTCTGATCCTAACCTAGCATCCAAAGATTAAGTGATCTGTATGAAAACCTAAAAAGAAAGGGGAAAAAAAGGGAGGTTTTTCATTCTTCACCAAGGAGCTTGATAACTGAATCAAGAAAACACACGACAGATTTGACAGTTCCGGGTAAACTCCGAGATTACAGATTTTAGTGCACAAGCCCTTAATGCATAAATGGACTAGGCTCAAAAACATGTTCCTGTCCCCTTTCACTTGCATCTGCCACTCCACCCCACATATCAGAAGGCATAACTGAGAGAGCAAATAGAGTTCAACTCTACCACCATCTGCATCAATCTATACACCAGCTTCTTGAAAGCAGGCTTTGACAGATGATTAAGACATTGCTTGGCACATCTGTATCCTATATTAGAGTATCTGGGTTCAACTCCCAATTCCACTTCCATCTCCACTTCCTCCTAATGTGTACCCTAAGAGACAACAGATAGGGAGTCCCTGCTCCCCACAAAGGAGACCTGGATTGAGTTCCAACTCCTGGCTGCCTGGTCTATCCCTAGCTGTTGTAGGCATGTGGGAAGTGAGCCAGTGGATGGGAAATCTCTGACACTGTCTCTCATTCTTTTTCTGTTTCTTTGTTCCCTATGCATAAAGCTATATATATCATACATATATAGATATATATTTAAACTCTAAATTTTCATATGCTATTAAAGGTCTTCACATGCTCCTCAAAATTCAAAAAACTAATATTTGCCTCTGTTGCACAAAGCAAGAAGCAGAAATACAAGGAAGCCACTGAATCATTTAATAGTCTCCACAAACCTATTATAAACCAAAGTTTAATATATCCTAAAATGTAAGGGTGGGAGTTGCTGACAACCAGGGATAAAATCCAGTTCCTAACAATAAAACAGTGCTGAGATTGGCAAAGGATTGCCAGAGTTGAGAAAGCCTGATGGGTATAATGGGCTAGAATGACCGATTAGCTTAATGTGCTTTCAGGAGAAGCAGACGCAAGTGTTTAGGTGTCATGATCATTAGTAACTTAGGCTGAGCAGGATGATTATATCTACAATAATGCATTACACCAGCTCTTTTTCTCCAGGGGCACCAATATGATAATGAAAAAGAAATAAGCAAACTTGACTCAAATCAACTACTTCTAAGAACAAAATTTCAAAGACTTCAAGTTTTCTTACAAATACTTCAATTAAAAAGCACACACACATATTTTAAGGTACCTTCCAAAATTGTTTGCTGCTGAGGCAATCTCCAATGCGTAGGAAAACCATCATCCTAAGATCCAGAAATCTTCCCACCTGCATTTTCAGAAAAGAAACAATCAATTACTTACTTACTGGAATCATTTCAAGCATTTCCCCTGAAATGAACTGATTTTTATCAACTGAGTTCCAAGTTTCTATTTTCCTAACCCAGAAGTTATATCTTCTGTAAAAAGTAAGTGGCTTAGGGGTTACTCCTTTGTAATGCTATCACAATCAAGATTCTAAACATTTAATAGCTTTATTTTCTTTTTTTTTTTTTAGAGATTTATTTATTTTATTGGAAAGGCAGATGTACACAGAGGAGGAGAGACAGAGAGGAAGATCTTGCGTCCGATGATTCGCTCCCTAAGTGGCCGCAATGGCTGGTGCTGTGCCGATCCAAAGCCAGGAGCCAGGAACTTCTTTCTTGGTCTCCTACATGGGTGCTGAGTCCCAAGGCTTTGGGATGTCCTCAACTGCTCTCCCAGGCCACAAGCAGGGAGCTGGATGGGAAGTGGAGCTGTTGGAATTAGAACTGGCGCCAATATGGGATCCCAGGCGTGTTCAAGGCTAGGACTTTAATCATTATCATGTCAGGCCCTACTTTATTTAATTCTAATAAATTCAAGAAAATTAGAGATTCTGTCAAATATTCTACCCCTTTATCTTAGGTGTAGCCAGTATCCTAACTGTCAGGAGGCAAGGCCCATGAATCTCGTGCCAAATAGCTGCGTGAGCAAATATGAGATAAACAAGCCATTTGTGGAGACAGAGGTGGAGCTGGGCTTGGTTGGGAATGAATCAGGCCATCCCACAGAGTGGGTGTCTCCTTCCCAAGTTGCTCTCCAGGGCACAATTAAAACCACTATAAAAGGCCAAGCTCCCAGTTACCCAGTACACTTGCCAGCAGTGTCAGCGAGCACTTGACGTCTTCCTCTGGTGAAGTGGGTAAGTCCCATTCTGTGGGATCACGTACTTCTCTGATTCTTTTTGTAGCCACGGTAGATGTTGGAGAGTGGGGAAATGTTCCACAGACAAGAAAAGATCAATTATTACCAGAATAGTTAGCTCTAATTCCACTGCATCTTCTTACAGGCAGAGCCATCATGGGAATAGAGATGTGACCCTCTCTCAAGCTTTGAACTCTATATTTTTGCACATCAGGGGATAATCATGGGTGGTTTTGTTGAAAGCACATCTTCCTAACATCTGCCTTCTTAAGGGTTTGCAATCCTCTGTTTTTCTATGTTAGTTCTACCTAACATGATCCATATTTATATGGCAGCTGAGACACTGATGTGGAGAAGAAGAAAGTGAAGAGTCATCTGGAGGAACTATCATACATATTCAGTCAGCAAAATCAATCATGCATTCTTTTAATAGCAATCTGTTGCTGGTTAATTTTTTAATAATGCCAAAATTCAAATATTTTATTAGGAATTTTTAAAGACTGACCATAAGACCAACACCATTCATAGTATCCTAGATTCAGTTTGGTATATGGGCTTTAGCAGCCAGTCAGAACAGAGCTCTCTGAAGCTTTCTGTAGCTGAAGATCTTAAAACCCATAATATATCTGAGTTAAAGGCAGAAACATGCACTGTCTGTGTTATACACTGGTGCATCTAAATGTTACAGTTCCATCTTTTTCTTAAAAAAAGAGCATTTTTAAACTTATTTGAATGCCAAGAGGAAATGAAGAGACAAACACCCTGTCCACAGGTTCATTCAACAAATGCCTAAGAGCCAGGAACTCAGACAAATCTCCTACCTATGTGGGTGCAGATTAGTTGGAACTAGAATTTAAAAACACAGACAAGAATCAAGCAAGGCACACTCATAAGGAATGAGAGTATCCAAAGTCACATGCTAACTGCTGTGTCAAATGTCCAACCCCAGTGCCATCTTTTAACAAGAAGTAGTATTTAATCTTAGAATTGGTGATTTGTGAATTATACCTGTAGATACCTCAATGTCTATAATGTTGAGAATAATTACATTGCCTTTTCATTGTTCTATGTGCTACCACTTGTTTTGTTTGACATGATTGGCTATTTGGGTTCTATCGACTTTAAAAATGCTCTTGTCTTCCTTCAGCTTCAGGCTTTCACTCATTCTCTTTGCTCAACTTTAGAAGGCACTTATATGTAGCAAACTTAGGTTTAAATTTCTGCATTTTCCTCTTTACTGTCTGCTGTAACATACACTAGAAAACTGAAAGAAAGATACAAAGAAAGACTATGGCTAATCAAGATTGAGTAAACAATGAAATGCAACTACACATTTAGGGTAGTGTGAATATGATTTCTTGGCTTGCAGCTTCCCAAGATCTCCCTTCCCTTTCCTGAATATTCAAAGACTAAAATCCGTAAAGGCCCAGTATAAAAATATCTACAGCTGAGAAGTCAAATTCTTTGTGAATCCATCTGAAATAGTATGAGTGAAATCTTCCCAAAAGCAGTGACAGAATTTTGATTATGAATCCTGTTTTGTTCCAGGTTTACTTGAAGAAAGAAAAAAAATGTCTCCACTTCTGAAAAGCATCATTGACATCACTGAAACTTTCAATCAATATGCCTCCCATGACTGCGATGGGGCAGCACTGAAGAAGAAAGACCTGAAGGCCCTCCTTGACAGGGAATTTGGAGATCTCCTTCAGGTAAGAGCTAACGAGAAAAGGCAGTACCTATGTGGATTTAGAGCTATGAAATTTTCTTGCCAGGAGAGGTCCAAGTCCTTCTTCACCATGAAAAGTCTGCACAACATCCCCTATTCATAGAACATCACCATCAAACATGGAATAGGAATATCATTTACTTAAGACAAAAATGCATGGTGTAAATCTAATCTTCAAAATCTCTCTCTCTCTCTCTCCTTCCCTCCCTACTGCCCCCCTCCCTTTCTCCTCTCTCAGTTTCATTCATTCTCAATCACCCAGCCAGAGAATTTGGGTTATTTTGAAAAGCACTTGTTTGCAAGATACAAAGCTCTCTAACGAATTTGTGCTTTAAAACGAAGGGCTCACATTTTACATGAGGAAGCAAGACTTGATACACACTGAGTATTTTCTAGTTCCGGATGTCTGGTTTAAAACCTTTTTAAACTTAAAGAGGTTCACTTCCCAAATCTTCTGAACAGCAGAGCCTATACCTAGAGTCAGGAATTGGGAACTCAACCTAGCTTTCCATGTAGGTTCACGGCTTCACAGCTGCCTTCCAGGGTCTACATCGTTGGAAGACAGAATTGGGATTTAGAGCCTAGAATCATACCGAGGCACGCTGATGTTGGATGCAGGCATCTTAACCGCTAAGCTAAATGTGCACTCTGAATGCCTCTCGAGTGTCAGTATAACATAACACAGGAGTATGTTGTGTGTATGACTGAAATTTTCCTACCTGGAAATAGCAAACTGTTTTATTTTTAACATGCTATCTTTTTCATAGAGACCACATGACCCTGAGACGGTAGATGTGATGCTGGAACTTCTGGATCGCGACTCTGATGGGCAGGTAGAGTTCGATGAATTCATTCTACTTATTTCCAAGTTGGCTCAAGCGGCTTATAACGCGCTTGGCGAAGCTTCTCAGCTTCAGGAAGAAAAGCGGGCCCAAGACGAGAGCAACGCGAGCCTGCTAGAAAATCGCAGGCAAGAAGATCAAAGGAGATTCGAGGTGCGGGACAGACAATTCGAAGAGGAACCTGAGCGACGACGCAGACAAGAGAAGCAGGAACAGGAGAGGGAGCTTGCCAAGGAAGAGGTGCAGAGGCAGAAGCAAGAGCGACTGGAGCAGCAGCTGCAGAGGCAGGAACTAGAAGAGCGCCGCACAGAGGAAGAGCAGCTGCGGAGGCGCCAGGATCGCGATGCTCTGGAGTTCCTGGAGAGGGACCCACAGCAAAGGAGAGAGAGGCAGGAGCGGCGTGAAGACGAGCAGCAGCTGCGAAGGCGCGACCTGCGCGAGAGGGAGGAGCAGCAGCTGAGGAGGGAGCGCCGGGAGGAGCGCCTAGAGCAGTACGAGAGGGAGCTCCAGGAGGAAGAGCAGCTGCAAAGGCAGAGACGCCGGCGCGAGGAAGCGCGGGAGCAACAGCTGAGGCGCGAGCGGGACGAGAAGAGATTCGAGCAGGAGGAGAGACGCGAGCAGCAGCAGCAGCTGAGGCGCGAGCTGGTGGAGCGCGAGCTGGCTGAGGAGGAGCAGGAACAGGTCCGGGAGCTGGGCGAGAGGCAGACCCGAAGGTGGCAGCGGCAGCTAGAGAGCGAGGCCTACGCACGTCAAAGCAAAGTCTACTCGACGCCCCTCAGGCAGGAGGAGCAGAGGCGCCGCCTGGACCAGGAGAAGAGGCGACTTCAGGAACGGGAGCAGGAGCAGGAACAACAGGCTCGCCGGCAGGAGGAGGAGGAGGAGGAAGAGCAGCTGCTGGAGCAAGAAGCGAGCAGGAGGCGCCGCGCAAGGCTGCAGAGGGCGGAGGAGCGCCAGGAACAACGGTTCCGCGAGGAGCAAGAGCAGCGCCGGCGGCGGCGCGAGAGAGCGCAGGAGCTGCGGGACCTCGACGACGAGGAGGAGGAGGAGCTGCTGCAGCGACGGGACCGTGCCCGACAGCTCCAGGAGGAGGACAGCTTGCAGGAGGATGTGGAGAGGAGGCGACGCCCACAGGAGCAGCGCCCTGGCCAGAAATGGAGGTGGCAACTAGAGGAAGAAAGCCAGAGACGCCGGCAAACACTGTATGCCAAGCCAGGCCGCGTGCAGCAGCTGAGGGAGGAAGAGGAACTGCAAAGGGAGAAGAGCCGCCAGCAGCGGGAGAGAGAATATCAGGAGGAAGAGCAGCTGCAGCGAGAGGAAGGCAAGCGACAGCGCCAGGAACGCGACAGACAATACGGCGAGGAAGGGCAGCTGCGTGACAGACAATTCCGCGAGGAGGAACTGCTCCGCCAGGAGAGGAGGGAAGAACAACTGCGCCGCCAAGTGCGGGACAGAAAGTTCCGCGAGGAAGAACAACAGCTGCGCCGCGAGGAGCTCGAGCAGCAGCTGCGCCGGGAACGCGACAGAAAATCCCGCTTAGAAGAACAGATCCGACAGGAAAGGGAGGAAAAACAACGGCGCCGCCAAGAGCGCGACAGGAAATTCCGTGAGGAGATCCGGGAGGAAGAGCAGCTGCTGCGCCAGGAAGAGCCACAGCTGCGTCGGGAACGCGACAGAAAATTCCGCGAAGAGGAACAGCTTCGTCGGGAAAGGGAGGAAGAGCAGCTGCGGCGCCGCCAGGAGCGCGACAGGAAATTCCGTGAGGAGGAGCCGCAGCTCCGCCGGGAGCGGGACAGAAAGTTCCGGGAGGAGGAACAGCTTAGGCAGGAGAGGGAGGAGCAGCTGCTGCGTCGGGAAGAGCCGCAGCTCCGTCGGGAGCGAGACAGGAAATTCCGTGAGGAGGAAAAGCTCCATGAGGAAAGGGAGGAAGAGCAGCTGCTGCGTCGGGAAGAGCGACAGCTCCGTCGCCAGGAGCGAGACAGGAAATTCCGTGAGGAGGAACAGCTTCGTCGGGAAAGGGAGGAAGAGCGGCTGCCGCGTCGCGAGGAGCAGCAGCTGCGCCGGGAGCGGGACAGAAAGTTCCGTGAGGAGAAGCTCCGTCTGGAGAGAGAAGAGGAGCAGCTGCGCCGCCAGGAGCGCGACAGGCAATTCCGCGAGGAGGAGCAGCTGCTGCGCCGCGAGGAGCAACAGCTTCGACGTGAGAGGGAGGAAGAGCAGCTGCTCCGTCAGGAGCGAGACCGGAAGTTCCGTGAGGAGGAACAGCTCCGGCAGGAGAGGGAGGAAGAGCAGCTGCGCCGCCAGGAGCGCGACAGGAGATTCCGTGAGGAGGAAGAGCTGCTGCGCCAGGAAGAGCAACAGCTTCGTCAGAAGAGAGAGGAGGAGCAGCTGCGCCGCCAGGAGCGAGACAGGAAGTTCCGCGAGGAGGAGCAGCTGCTGCGTCGTGAGGAGGAACAGCTTCGACGTGAGAGGGAGGAAGAGCAGCTGCTCCGTCAGGAGCGCGACCGGAAGTTCCGTGAGGAGGAACAGCTGCTGCGCCGCGAGGAGCAGCAGCTCCGTCAGGAGCGGGAGGAGGAGCAGCTGCTGCGTCGGGAGGAGCCACAGCTCCGTCGGGAGCGCGACCGGAAGTTCCGCGAGGAGGAGCAGCTGCTGCGTCGTCGTGAAGAGCAACAGCTTCGACGTGAGAGGGAGGAGGAGCAGCTGCTCCGTCAGGAGCGAGACCGGAAGTTCCGTGAGGAGGAACAGCTCCGGCAGGAGAGGGAAGAAGAACAGCTGCGCCGCCAGGAACGCGACAGAAAATTCCGTGAGGAGGAAGAGCTCCTGCGCCGCGAGGAGCAGCAGCTCCGTCAGGAGAGGGAGGAAGAGCAGCTGCGCCGGCAGGAACGCGACAGAAGATTCCGTGAGGAGGAGCAGCTGCTGCGCCAGGAAGAGCAACAGCTTCAACGTGAGCGCGACAGGAAATTCCGTGAGGAGGAACGTCTGGTGCGCCCCGAGGAGCAACAACTTGGTCAGGAAAGGGAGGAAGAGCAGCTGCGTCGTCAGGAGAGTGAGAGAAAATTCCGTGAGGAGAAACTCCGTCAGGAAAGGGAGGAAGAGCAGTTGCGCCGCCAGGAGCGCGACAGAAAATTCCGTGAGGAAGAGCAACTGTTGCGCCGGGAGGAACAACAGCTGCGTCAGGAGAGGGAGGAAGAGCAGTTGCGCCGTCAACGGAGCGATAGGAAATTCCGCCAAGAAGAACAACTTAGGCAGGAGAGGGAGGAAGAGCAACAGCTTCGGCGGGAACGCGACAGAAAATTCCGAGAGGAGGAGAAACTCCGTCTGGAGAGAGAGGAAGAGCAGCTACTGCGTCGCGAGGAGCAGCAGCTCCGTCGGGAACGTGACAGGAAATTCCGTGAGGAGGAACAACTCCGGCAAGAGAGGGAGGAAGAGCAGCTGCGCCGTCAGCGGCGGGACAGAAAGTTCCGCGAGGAAGAGGAGCAGCTGCTGTTTGAGGAGCAAGAAGAAGAGAGGTTCAGGCAGGAGCGAGACCGGAAGTACCCATCAGAGGAGCAGTTTGCCAGAGAGGAAACGAGCCGCCGTCTGGAAAGAGAGCTGCGGCAAGAAGAAGTGCAGAGACGCCGCCAGGAACGGGAGAGGAAATTCCGGGAAGAGCAGCTCCGCCGCCAGCAGGAGGAGGAACAGAGGCGCCGTCAAGTCCGGGAAAGACAAGTTCTGGAGCCTGGCACGCGTCAGTTTGCCAGTGCCCCGGTGCGTTCCAGCCCTCTCTATGAGTACATCCAAGAGCAGAGATCTCAGTACCGCCCCTAGATGTTGCCAGTGTCCTGACACCTGCCAATGCCTCAAGCAAAGGAAAATGGGAAGCACTGTGTACCGAGTGATCACTCAAATGTTTCTGGTTGTGGGAAAACTCTCTTATGTTAGAATCTGTCTTTTCCAAAATCTTTACACCCTTTTCATGTGTTTTGTATGTCTTCCTGTTAGTCTCTGGCAAGTAGTTATTGCAGTATATTTTTGCTCTTTGGTGCAGAAGTGGAGAGCACTTATTTTAAACAAAAGTCATTTAATTTGCTTCAGGAGTTTTGTTTGAGGAGCATGATGATTTATTGCTTTTGAAGTTATTTTCAAAATAATTGGTTTGTCCTTAACAAATGAGCCAACTTGTGGAGTGTTCAAATGTTTTCAATATTCAAGTTGGTGTTTCTTCTTAAGCCTAAATTTAATTCATCTTTACTTCCAAATAGCTTCTCATCTTTTATGGCTTAGTTAACAGGTTCTTCCAGGTGACTGAGCTTTACAACTCTTCAATAATACAGGAGAAATTACTCCTGCAGTAAAACTTTCTATGAAATTAAGCTCATAACTGGGAGAAATAACACTAAAGAATAAAGTATAACTTGAACACTTAAAATTCAAAATATATACTTTTACACTTAATTCCACTTGAACACAACCACTTGAAAATCTTAAAAACAAATGTTCTCAAACAATTTCTGACCTCAAATTTTAGAACTGTGCTGTAGTTTCTAGTGCTCCGCTCTACTCCCCCAAATTTTGCTGGGTTTGGGAAAATTAACTACCTTTGTTAATTTGGGCCTTGAGGTAACCTGCTCAGGATAAATGTCTTGCTGTAGGACCCATGAGATCACAGAATGTGTGCGGGGGAGGGGAAGGGAAAATGTAAGTGAACAGAATGGCAAATTTCTGGATGCCCTTTAACAGGATTCACCAGCCCATAATCCTTTGAGGCCTACTGATACTATCTTGAAGACATTCTTGTTGAAATAACTGGACTGTGAGCAATAAATACTAAATGTTTGGCAAATAATCATTTTTGTCTGTTTTAATTGTATCATGACCATAACTCTTAGTATTGACTTAAATTCCCAGTCACTTAAAGACATTTTGTTAATCTTATGTCCTAATGTGAAAAGTGGGGAGCCTTCTGCCATTTCCAGTTGGGATGAACCCTATCTTATTTCCATCCTCACACTGATTTCTCTTTCCAAATGTTTTTTTCATCACTCCGGAGTTTCTAGTCCTTTTCTGGTAGTAACTCACTGGTCACAGCAAATACTGATGCTCCCAAAGTTAATATTCCCTTCTTAGAATTCAGGAACTTCTTATCCTCTGATGTCTGATAAGATAATGGTAGAAAAAAAATAGCGCAGAACCTCAGAAAAGCACTACAGAACTCTTAGAAGATTATCGAACAATACAACCCATGATTGATCAGTGACTTAATCAGAGGATGCTTGATAGTACTGAAGTATCAAATTATGTGGTGACCCTAACATTTCTGTGCCACCTGCAACAGTACATATTTACAGTTCAGTTTGGAAACTAGAAATAAGTCCAAGAAGGCCCTCATCAGTGTATCAACAACTTTAATTGTGAGGGTCAGAGATGAAATTTTGGTCAATCAAAAGAAGCTAGACCTATAATTCTAGAGTATCATTTTGATAAACCAAGATACCATCCTCTCTCTGTCTCTCTTTCTCTCTCTCTCTCTCTCTGTCTCTCTCACACACACAGAAGAGATGCCTACCTAGGAGAGCTGGAAAATTTTCCAAAACTGTCTTTGAAATCTCACTTCTTTCAAATGACTACTAATCACACACACACACACACACACACACACACACACACACACACACTTTTTCCCTTAGGGAAGTGTATGCTTAATGCTTAAGGATCTTAACAGAAAATCAGGGAAGAGCACCATAGAAATGCTCCAGGGTCTTTTCAAAGCTTCCTTATTAATGCTCAGTCTCAGGATAACACTGAAAAATACTTTCATCAGCTAATCTAGAATGTAGTCATGATTCATGATTATGCTTTTAAAAAAATCCAAATCCCTTCTACTTCCTATAGCACTTTACAAGATGAGAGAAATACTAGTTTCTGAGAAAAAGTATTGTTTCATGATAGTTATAATAACATGTGGTACAATAACAAAAAAAGGTGTCAGCCAGCCCATGCCCTGTGGCTATTCTTTTTAGCACACTGGCAGAACATGAAAGCCAACTCTCCTGCTTCACCTAAATAATACACATGCATGGGCAGGACCTTAAGTTTATTGGGCAATTACCTGCTTCACTATAACCTGAGAGCTCCACTATTAGTAGCTTGGCTGCTGCTGCTGAAGAGTATGTGGAGAGTTTAATATGCTGTGATGGGAAAAGTCTCCATGTGTTATGGCCTGAATTGTGATCCTTCCAAAGATTGGTATGTTGAAGTCTTAACCCTCTTTGACTCAGATTATACATTTGGCAATATGGTATTTTAAAAGGTGATTAAAGTGAGGTTGTTGGGTTGAGCCCCAGTTCAAGGTATGAGGACCGGTATCTTCACGGTAAGAGGAAATGTGAAACAGACATGGAAGAGGGAAGATACTGTAAAAACACAGGGACAAGATGAATGACTGCAAGCCTAGCATAGAAGCCTAGACAATCTTTTCCTTATAATTCTCAGGAGAAGGGAACCCTACTGATACCTTGATCTTGAACTCCACAACTGAGAGAAAATAAATTCTTTTGCTTAAGTGATCTAACCAGTGGGCACTCCATGTAAGGTGGAGTTATTAGGCAAGGTAAGCATATCTACCGTGGTGATCTTTATCCTTTGACATTGAGTAAGTAGGTCCTGATCTATTATAGTTTCTATGATAGATGTAAAGAATGAAAAAATTAATTGAAATCTTGGATTTTATTCATTCATCTATTCAACAAATGTACATTGAACTCCTGGGTATGTACCAGATTTTCTTCCAGGTATTAAACATAGTAGTGAGAAAGCTGTTCTGGTCTATTACTTCACTTCTCTATGTGTTCTTTGCAAACTACATAAACTTGCTGGGCTGTCATTGTTTCATATTTCAAACTACAATACGGGAATAGTTATCACCAAGATTATTCCAGGAATAAGTAAATATTGCTTTAATTCTAACATCCAGCATGTTCAGTTGAAACACTGATATTTGGAGCCAGCATGGTGGGTTAGCAAGCTAATCTGCCTTCAGTACCAGCATTCTATACAGGCACTGATTCAAGAACTGGCTGCTCCATTTCCAATCCAGCTCCCTTCCTATGATCTGGGAAAGCCTAAGAAGATGGATTATACCCCTGTCATCATGTGGATGACCTGGAAGAAGCTTCTGGCTCCTAATTTCAGATCAGCTCAGCTCTGTACCTTGTGGCCCTTTGGGGAATGAATCAGTGGATGGAGGATCTTTCTCTTTATCTCTCTCTCACACACACACACACACACACACACACACACACATTGAGATTCTAAAACATCTATTATTTTTGCTACTTAAAAATTAGTTATAATATTGAGCATTAGTTTGGTGGCTAAGACATCCACATCCTAAATCAGAATATTGGAGTTTGAGTCAGCTCATAATTCCAGGTTTCTGCTAACATAGGAACACCCTGCAGAGCCAGGATTTATGGCTTAAGTAATTGGATTATTGTCACTCATATGGGCACCTGGATTAAGTCCCCAGCTTGTGATTTTGCCTAAGCAACATCCCTAACCATCACGCATTTGGGGAATGAACCAGAGAATGCCTGTGTACTCGTACTCTTCTTTTCTCTAACTACCTTCCTCCCCAATTCCCTCCAAATACATAAACATTCTGCCTAATTAAGTTGACATTTACTTCATCTTCCCATTTAGATTGTAAATATATTGAAATCAGAGATTATATCTGGGACATGCTTAATTTTTTATGTCAGTGCCATGATAAATAATAAACAACAGAAATGTGTGAAATTCTGAATAAATTGTAGACTGTGTGGCTCTGGAAAAATATATGTATTCAAACTTCTTGCCTGATATTTTAAAAATTCTTAGTTACCATTTAGCCTTTATGACTCAGTGCTAAGAAATCTGGCTCCAGGTTGCTATTGTGACATAGCATGATAATACCACTGCTTGTGATAATTGGCATCCCGCATGGGCATGAGTTCACCTCCCCTCATCTCTGCTTGAGATCCAGCTTCCTCCTATTGATCTGGGAAATCAGTGAAAGATGGCTAAAGTGACTGGCCACCTGCTACCCACATCAGAGACCTGAAAGAAGTTCCTGGATTCTAGCTTCAACCTTGCCCCAGAATGTATAAGACTTGGATGCATAATGTAGACACTCAACAGGCATTTATTAAATGCATTAACATACCCTTTAGAGCTCTTTTCTGCCCAAGGCTTCTAGTACCCACCTGAGACAGATGTCATCCTTTCCTCCTGAATGTTGAAGCCACAGTTCTTCCTTTCATCTTGAAAATTGGTTAGCCTCAAGCATTCCTGAGGTATTGCCAAATATCTGTGATTTCTTTTCTGGCTTGATTTGAATTCTTTCTACGAATTGTGGTGAGTTCTGGTCTTAGTATCTGTCCGGTGAGAATGCAAGGATATGCCAAGAGAAATGTTAATTCTGTCCCCATGTGTTACTAGAGAAAGGATGTAGTGAGAAGCAAAGATGAGATGTCAGTTCCAGACTGTTTTCTCATAAGCTTTTTTTTTAAAAAAAATCCAAATGCAACACATCACCATGAAGAATATCTCCCTTTGGGGGAAAAATAAAAAGATTTATTTTATTTGAAAAGCAAGGAGACTTGGCTGGGGTAGAGGGATAAGAGAAAGAATATTCTATTCTCTGGTTGACTTCCAGAGAAGTTGGCCCTATCAGTCAAGGGTAGGTCAGGCTCAAGCCAGAAGACTGGAACTCCATCTGGATTTCCCAGCAAATGTGACAGGAGCCCAGATCATTAGACCATATTCCAATGTTTATCCAGGTGTATTATCAGGGAGCTGGATTGGAAGCAGGGAAGCCAAGATTTGAACCAATACTCAGATATGGGAGCCCCAGCATTGTGAGTGTGGTTTAAATTGCTATGCCACAAATCTGGCCCCTGAATATTTCCCTTTTGCAAATCTTCATGTCTGATATATGTGGATCAGTTTTATTCCTGCCATCCTCATTTCTTTGTGAAATATCTTGTGAAATAACCCAATTCTTACCAAGCTAAGAGTATCTGTACCGCTTTGTCTTTTCCTTAGAGCACCCTAAAAATAACCTCACAATAGCGGCAGTACATGGATTAAGCCTATCCCTAGGTTTAATCCCTGGCTGTGAATGGGGGAAAGATAGGTAGAAGTAGGAGAGGAAGACAGTTTTTACCAACTTTCTCAAATACCATGGTTCAAAAAAAAATCATGTATTTTGTATAAATAGAAATATCCAATTCTATTGAACAAACAAGGCTTTCCAAAAGACATTGATGCTTAAATCAAAACCTGAGAATAGGTTAGTTCACCTAGAAAACAGTAAAACAGCTTCTCACACAGAGTGAAATTCAAAGACAGGAGGCAAGAAAAAGCACAGCGGGTTCAAACAGGTCAAAATCAAATCTAACTGGAGTCTAGAATCTCAGAAGATAAACAACATATGTGCATGGGGGCATTGTAAGCCATATTGATTTCATTTTGAGGGCAAGAAAAAAATCACTATTTGAAGCAGAGAACTGATTAACCAGATGGATCATTTATGAAATCACTCTAACTCCAGCGTGCAGAGTGCACTGAAGAGGGCTAAAACAGAAGCAGGGAGAACTTGAAAACTATTACATTAGTTCCCCAGAAAGACACTGGTACAATAGGGTATTAGGAATGAGGAAAGAGAGACATGTTTATCTTTGAGAGATATCTGACAATTAGAATCTGTTGGAGTTGGCATATTAAAGAGATATGGAAAGAAGGAAATAAAAAATAATGTCAAGTTCACAGTTGAGGAAACAGTGAGTAGCATTACCATTCCTG